AAGACCCTGGAAGCTGGTCCTCAGTAGGAGCTCAGGCATCACTGAGGTTAAAAGATGGTGTTTCTCTTTCTTGGATCATCTGGGGCACAGAATTCAATAAATGTGAAGAGCTCAGAGTAGAAAGAGAAGAAGGGCTCAGCTTCCTTTCCTGACATCAGTCTGTGTGTGTGTGTGTGTGTGTGTGTGTGTGTGTGTGTGTGTGTGTGTAAGGGGCATGGTACTCGAAAGTGAGAACTTGTAGGAACAGATGTCCCAGGAGCCATGCCTGGCAGAGGATGCCCTGGCAGTCCTTCTGATGGACTGTAATTTGCTCAGAAACTGAAGACTGCCGAGGGATCAGTTGGAAGACACTGGGAAAGAGCCAAGGAAGGAGCTGGAACCGCCATGGAAAGAGTGTTCTGGAGGGGAAATGGCAAGCAACAGACTTGGGTGCAACAAAGTGAGTGCTGACACTCCATGGATGGTGGGCTGTAGAGAGTGCATGAAATTTTGGAAGGTCTTAAACTTCAAGCCCTCTCCCCTTGAATGAGAAAGAAATTGGCTGCAAAAGCGTGGAGATCTATGAGCCAGGGGAATGATGGCAGAGGTGGTGGGCGGGGGCACAGAACCACAACCAGGGAACCCTTTTTCACTTGCTCGATTTTTACTAGATAAGAATTTAATCTGTTTTATCTCACTGAATCCTCACAAATAACATTACAATTATTTTGGTTCTAATATTATCTCTGTTTTGAAGATGAGGAAACCGAAACCTAAAGGCTAAGGAAGGTGGTGACCTAGGGCTCATGCCTGCTGTGGGGCAATGCTCATGGCTGGTACTGATGGGCCACTTGCCTTTTAAAGAGCTAAGGCTGGGCTAGACATCAGGAAAGAGAGAACGAAATACTAGCATGGTCTCTGGTATCTCCAAAAGGACATGGGGGAGTATGAAGACAAAGCTGATACTATAAATACAATCTTAGTCACAGGTTTCACAGAGATAAATTGGGAAGGGAAACTGTGTGGAAACTTATTTAGGCTTCAACAGAGTCTATAAGGGTTGAATTAGGCAGACCCAGAGGGAGAGTTTCTACCGAAGGGCTGATATTCCCAAAGAAGACAAACCTTTCTATTAGAATTGGTTTCCTCTCCTGACCCAGATCTATCAGACACTACTTGGAAATTTCTGCCTCTCCTTGTTTCACTGATTAGCGATCTACCCACGTCCACCTGAGTTTATAAACACCCACTTTTCAAACTATTGAATGGCTTAGTGTGGTGGTGGTGTTACTGGCCAGTCACAACATGAATTAGTTGTATCTAAATCTTTTCTTTCTAATATCTAATCAAATCCGGTTTTCCTGAAGAAGTGGATTTTGATAGAGACAGAGGATAGTCAACAACTGTACAACAGTAAAATGGTCAGAACTTTCCTAAGCTCACCCAAAGTGGGATGGGCACAGTAAAGAAACTGGAAGTGAGGGCAAAGGGGCTCCAAGAGGGTTTGAGAGGCATTTTTATTTATCATCACATTTTGCATAGGCGTAGCTCTAAGCTTATCACCCTGAAAAAAGTCAGAGGAAATATTCATCTTCCCCCTCTTGTATTACATGACCTCTTGATTTAAGGACGCAGAACGCTGGTGAAGAGAACTAGTATTTGTCTATCTGCTCAATGAATACATAACCACCACCTATTAAACAGAGTTTTGTGTGCTAGTCTGAGACCCAAACTGCTATTTATATGACGTTGCTTGTTGCTGCTTATTCTGTGGGAAAAGAAAGATACCAGGGATGCAGTGAAATATCGGACTATAACTTTCACGTAAGTTAGGGCTGTCTGTACTGCTTCGAGTACTAAGAATAGAAGATAGCAGTTTCTGAACTTACCAGAAAACCCACTAGTGGCCTGAAGATTACATCTTTAAAAGCACCAAGCCCACTTGTCAGCAAAACTATAAATAATCGAAGGCTGGTTTTGGAGTGTGCATGTAATACTATTAACACATCAAAAATGGATCACAAATAGCGCCTACCACACATATTACATTTTTTCCCCAATAACACCTACTTGTCTCTATTAAGCCATCAAGTCTATTTTACCACTTGCGATTGTTACTCAGGACATGTGTTTGCTAATTTGCTAGCTGGAATATCTTTGCCCTACGAAAAGAAAAACAACAAAAACCCCCCCAAAAGCAGAAAACAAAACCCACCCTATTCTGTAGTCCCAAGTGGGAGCATTACCTGTCATATATCCCATTAACACTGGATTTCAAACAACTGAGCTGACCACTCCCTTGATGAAATATCACAGAAATTCACTCACAAATAGCACTGATTTGTCAACGTGCATATGACCATCTCATCAGCAGTCTGGCTTTGATTAGTTTTAAGCTCTGTAGTTCATGAGAATCTGTCTTGCTTTTGAATTAAGAGGTACAAGTGAATAAGCATCATCTTTAGAGATGATCTGGATGGGAAACTATCACTATCTTTGACCTTCTTTAGGGGCTTTAAAGCATATTCAGGGATCCCCCAGCCATAGAGAGGGCTGATGGGTCCAGGTTGCAGATGGACCAGGCCATCTGGACCAATTCTCCTTTTAGATGCCTGCTTTAGGCCATTTCCTTATTTATCATAGACAATAAAGGGATTAAAGACAATGGGGAAACATCAGTAAGTTAAATGATTTTGTTTGTATAGCCGTGTTAAAGAATGGTGGGAAACGTCAGTGAAACTCAATGGCTGAAATTGCATTTAAGGACCTTCTGTGGGTTTTGATTACCCATGACTTGCTAATCCTCTCTTACCACAGAGAAGACAAGGGAAAGAATAAATGAAAGCATAAACATGGTTGGAGCATTTTATGTGTTATCACATATGTTATCTTTATAGTCTCAAAACACTTTTCAGATTGGAATCATGTTTTTGCAACAACTTTGCATCAACGTAAACATAACATACATGCATATATTCACACACACGCGCGATACCAACAACCAAGAACGTATTCTTGAGAAATCTGAGACGTTATTTCTCGCTCCATCATGCATCCACACCTCTAGTCGGGCTACTCGGTACATGGAAGGCTCCATGTTTTCCCCACGCGTTGCCCCTGTAACATTCTCCACAGGAACCGAGATTCGCATTCTCTTACCTTTCTCCAAATCCCACTTCCTACAGGAAACATTCTGGAACAATCCACCCAGCCCCCACTGACCTCTTCCTCTTTGACCTGCTGTCAGAATCATCAGTGTAGCACTGGAAGGGATGCTGCCTCATTTGGCCTCTGATTTAATTTATCTGACTTCGTCCTGTTTACCCAACCAGGCTGCATGGGGGTGGAGACGCGACCTCTGCAGCTAAGCACAGTGCCTGCCTGGCACACAGCTACTCAATACTCAGCTCTTTACCAACCATTTCAAAAAGAAAGAAAAATCTACAAATCTCAATGCTAACCCCTAGCTGCTCTGTGGTCATTAAGAGTGAGGCAAAATTCCTGAAATTCCATAGAACCTTTCCTCCAAACAGATGTTAATCCTTTCCCTCCTTTCCCACAGATTATCTCACTCAGATTTCATAAAATCCTGGAATGGAAGGCAGGGAAGGGCAGAAAATATAACTCCTAGATTTCTGTATTCCTCTTAGAAAGCACATACATGAAGCGGTGGCACCTTTGGTGGCTCAGATATTTGACGCCTGCCTCACCTGTTGGACAGGTACAGCAAAACCTCCGTTAACCAGACCCATCTATCCAGAATCCTCAGTTAAACAGAAGCATGATTCTTCATGCATTAAAAGAAAGAGGTGAATTATAGCAAAAACAGGATCAAGAATTTATTTCAAAATCCACATCCTTGGAGAGCTCTGCATCTACTACATATTTGGTCCAATCTCGTACATCTTCCTAGATACAAGAATCGATCACTGCAATAATAAGGAACATTTAATGAATGCTCACTGTCAGTGAGGAATCAAGCAAAATGCTTTAAATACCTCATCTCATTCAGTCCTTACAAAGACCATTATACTCATTTAAGATATCAAAACGGAGACACCTAGGGCTTCCCTGGTGGCACAGTGTTTGAGAGTCAGCCTGCCGATGCAGGGGACACGGGTTCGTGCCCCGGTCCGGGAAGATCCCACATGCCGCGGAGAGGCTGGGCCCGTGGGCCATGGCCGCTGAGCCTGCGCGTCCCGAGCCTGTGCTCCACAACGGGAGAGGCCACAACAGTGAGAGGCCCCGCGTACCGCAAAAACAAAAAAGAAAAAACAAAAAAACTGAGACACCTAGAAGTAAAGCAAGCTGCCCAAGATGGCACAGCTTAGGGAGGGCCAGCGTTTGCATGGAACATTGTGTCATGCCAGAGAAGACGATACAATACTTACCCATAGCCGATCACAATTCTCAATCATGAAGGATTTTCCTGGTATTTTATAGCTACTAAATTGAAATGCTGCCAACACATGACAGAGTTATTCACAATAAAATTTGGGGTGACAGAAGTTTTAGATCAACCCTCTATTTAAAAATTATTCAATAAACAGATCACACTCTTCACCTCCAACCCCGCATTCTGCTTAATCGGGGTTATCTTGGAGTAGAGAGATGCAGGATAAAGAGAGTAGGGGAGGAAGAATTTGTTGGCCCTATTCTGCAGATTTAAAAACCGAAAGCAATCTCATCAACAATTTGTTGGAAATAAGGCATGGATTAATAATAGAAAAAACCCTCACCCATATTTCCTGAGTGCCTGGAGGGTGATCTGAAAGAAAACTGGGTGCATAACCTCTGGCTGTCGTAAGTATAAATTATTTCAGCAATGTTGTGGGAGGTATATTTGCTTGCTTCAGTCACATTGGGAGAAGTTGGGATGAATTCATGTTGGTGAGGAACAACTGCATTAGTCAGTATAGGAGCTGATAAAGCAAATATTCCTGTTTAAGTCAAATTTTTATTGCCCAGTGATTCTTAGAAAAAAAAAAACAAACATAGAGGACCAGGGTTCTCTGCATCTCTTACCTGGTGGTCAAGCTCAAGTTGCTAGCCATGCTCATATGTGTCGCTGGGCAGGAGTCCTGTGTTTTTGGACCAGAGTGTTCCCTTCCGTTGTTTCTCATCACCGTGACTGTTGTCCCTGCAATGTCATAGCCATCTTGGTGAGCTGGCATAATACCCGTTCATAAGGGATTTCTGGACTGTTCCTATTGGCTGAGAGAGCTCTAGCCCCTTGACTAGGGAGAGGCTGAGAATCCTCAGCTACAGACTAGTTCTAAGAGGATGGTTTGTAGAAAACTCTTTAATTTCCTTCTACAGAGTTAAGAGAGTGGGTGAAAATGATTGTGAGGATGTTAATACCATACGATATGCTTAAAAGAAGTACCTACTGAGTACTTTCTTATCCATTCTGCACCTTTCTCATCCATCATTCTTCCCATCTCATCCAGAAGTATAGCATTTGGGGAGCCTTTCGGCTGCCAGCAGAGTCTACAGCCGCTACAGGACACTAAGGAAAGATCACTATACAAGGCCCCTACTCGCTTCTGCAGATACCGGTCAGCCTGCAATTCATTCTCCTTGGATACTGCTTCCTTCTACGTCATTTTTCCTTCAAGGCTTCCTTTATTATTTATTTTAACCTTTGAAGAATCTTGATCTTACCTGGGATATGTCTCAAAACACTTGTGAATTTCCACATCTGGAAATAACACAAAAGCAGATAATCTTCTCATCTGCAAAATAGGGAGAAGACTGGGACCTCAAAGGGTGATGGTCGAGGATAAAATGCAAGAATGTGTGAGCAACATTAAATGAGCAACACGAAGCTGCTCTGAGATGGAAACAAACTGACACCTGAGCCTCCTGCGCCCACATGTTGATACTCCATCACGCCATTTTTATTCCAGAACAGAGGTTTAACCTAGGAATCCTTTAAACGCACTTGGCTAGGAAGCCATCCTTGCTCAATAAGAATTGGCACTCGGTACTGTGATGAAAAGTAACATTCTAAAGGATGCTTTGGAAGTCAAATGCTTTTCTTTCACTATTCAAAAACCCTGCATGATCTGCTTGCCTGAACCTGACTGCCAGGGGATCAGAGATGGAAAGACTGCCTGGGAAGAAGTTATCAAGGAGACGGGCGGAGCCAAAGAGGAGGCATCACTGCCACCCCTCTTCCTTGCCCACCTAAGTGGAGAAAAGAGACAAGACCTTTCCTCCTGCGTGAATTTAAGAATCTCTCTGTACTTAGACTACTCGGAATGGGGAGTTGCTCTGGAACAAGCCTTTGAACCCACACTGAACCAGGTTTTGGACAATGGCAGACGTAAAGAGCCACAAAAACCTCTTGGTATCCCTCTTCTTTTGATGTAACTCTTTCTAAGCCATTTTAATCTGCAGAAAATATCAACTGAGTCAAAACATACTTTTGGAAGAAGAGGGACATCCTTTGCATATGTGATTTGTCGGTTTAAATCAGCAGTAATGGCATCATACAGGTGTACCGAGAGCCAAGTATGGAAGAAGATTGCTCCCTGTCTGTAATCCTCAGAAGCCCTCACTTACATATGGGATTTTGATGGGGTTTTCAGCTTGATTGATGTTTCCTTATTTTGTGGTTACCTTTTGCCCTGGGGGGAATGGCTTGGGGAGGGAACTTCTGAGGAAAAATCTAAGGGAGGAGTAGCGTGTTACCAACTGTCAGTCTTTAAAAGCTAGTCGGCTTAGTACTCGTGATAGAAACTGAGCTGCGGAATGTAAAACGCAACATGCCTAAACTGGCTTGGGAATAATGGAACTTTCGGGAAGTCTCTGTCTTCTCAGAGCCTCACTCTGCAGCCAACATTTGCCAGGTATTAAAAAAAGGTGGGAGGGGACAGGCGGGTGAGGTGAGTGCTAGGTATGAACCGTGAGAAATTTTTGCTCAATAAAGCTCTGAATCTTCCCTTGTGTCCTTCTTCTTAATAAAATCTCTCCTGAAAACACATGAATGATTTGCATAATGTTGGACGCTTTCATGATTATGGAAGTACGTCCATGGATATGGGGGCTGGAAGGTGCACTCTTGTGAGGATGGGTGGGGGCTCCGGCTGTGTGTGCTGCCTGCCCGAAGGGAAAAGAACTGGTCCACGTGGTCCAACTCTTCCTTCAACTCTAAGTTCTATAATCCTAATGAATTTCACAAAAAAGTCTGAAAAGTGTCCTCTCTACCAGGTTGCAGAGAGGGCTGTTAAGAACGTGCAACAATCACTGACTGCCCTTTCTCCCAGTTTCTTTACTGCCCTTTCTCCCAGTTTCTTTGCTGCTTCAAACATCTGGGAGAAAAACCAAAGAATGAAATAAAACTAGGAAGTAAAGTCCCTGTCTCTCAAGGCAGTAGATAAGCAATTGAAGTTTCTCTGATTTCACTCTAAGAGCACTTGATCATTTGATTTACTTATATTTTGATCTATTTAGCTACAGCTGACAGTGTCCAAGTAATTACGTTTTCAGATTTTAGGCAAGGGAAAAATGAAATGGATTTTTGCCTAACGCCCTAACCAGACTGTTAATGGCTTGCCATGGCTTACTATGACTTCTTCTCTATGGATATTCTAAAGAGGGTTTCCGAATAAAGCCTTAGACATCAAAAAAGACATGGCATCTAAGACCTGTGGGTGACTGAAAAAAAATAAATTAAAGTCCTATGCACGGCCAGCATTTGATTATCTTTCTCTTTTCTTCAAGAAGTGATTTCCTTGACAGCTATAGGCAACCATTTTCCTTTCCTGGCACACGTGACAGGATTGCATATTAAGACATGCCTCGTATATGATTTCCATATGGAGAGCACTAATTCTACTCCTCTCGATCTCCCTCAGGAAATATGATCATAGCCCAAATGAGTGAAAACAATTCCTGCCTTATTTGGCTGATCCTGAATCTGCTCCATTTTACTAAGTAGCTAACCTGTTGCAAAATTTAGTATCTACCAGTCATTGTGACACACCTAAGAAGTGATACCACGTATTCCGGATAAGAAACGCTGCTCTCAGGAGCTGAAGAAGCAGCAGGACAAGAGATCAAGCCAATGCTTTCGTCTTGTGAAAGTAGGGATAACATTCATCCATCTATTTATTTTTTTATTTATATATCTGTTCATGATCAGAACTTCAAGAAAATTCTTAGAGCCATGAAAGATGGCATGGATTGGCCTGAAGAGAGGCTAGATGCGGGGAAACCTGCCAGGACGCTATTTTAATCATTGGGATGAGAAATAAAGAGGGCCACGGCCAAAGTGGAGATGGACACCAAGGACTCGAGAAAATGAAGCCCCACAGCCAACGGTGGGACTGACTACAAGAACAATGGCAACTGTCGTGAATACAGGAATGCAAGGTATTGGTGGATGGTCTTTGTGGACTATTACCGGGTTGTTTTCCTTTGTGCTGGAATTGGGTGGACGTGTGGTCCCTGGCCCTGCTTTAGAGAAGAAGAGGCATTTAGGAACACCTCTGCTCTCTCTCCTACCTATAGCCATTGGTGCAGGAGGAGAGCCAAGCTAGAGAGATGAGCTGGTAGATTCACTGCGGCGGTTAGAGCTCAACCTTCCAGGTTTGGAATGCTCATCCCTAGGGAACACTGGCTGGGCTGACTCCCTTCTTAAAGAGGTCACTTAGTCTGAGATGTTGATGAAAAAAATGACCCAAGTCAAAACCTAAAGAAAACTATGAAGTAAATTCAAGTTTAGACCTCCTATTAAAACTATTTCTTATCATTTCTGCCCATCCCCGACCCCTTTTCACGCCCTCTTTCCAATTTCCTCTTCATAATTCTCCTCTCATTTACACGTGACTCCACCACAAACATTAACATTTTAAGGAGGAGGAACATTTAAGGAGGAATCTAAAGCCTTTCTCAGGGGGTGAGGATTAGGGGAATTTGGACACAGCTTTCCTAAGGCCACTCTCCCGCTGCCCACTCTCCACACCATCACGTACAGAGACCGGTGTGTGCTTCTCCCTGCCCTGGTTGAGGACCACCGCTCTAAAATCTCAGGCGTTAGAGAATTCAGTGCTGAAATGGCAGGCAGCGAGCTGTTTAGTTGGAGCTGGGAAAGTTTCTGCCCAGTAACTTATCTAATCACATATGATTCCCCCTGCTCTTAAGGCTGGCCCTACCATGCATGGTCTTCATGCTCTGGATCCAAAACACATTGGGAATGGGTTCAAATAAGTAAAATCTACCAGGACTTCTCTGCCAATTCTTATTTCAACTGAATTTCACTGATGAGAAAAATAACGAGATTCTTTTTTGAGTCTGTGTTCCCACGGGTTCTATGATAATTACGGTATATGTAGTACTTACTATTTGCCAGGAACTGTTCTTAATGCTTTCTATATGAATAGACTCAACCTGTATACTCTTTATGTACTAATAGTCTCATTTAACCCCCTGAGATATGTAATATTATCACCAACATTTTACAGAAATCGGAAACACTCTGAGAGCTTAAATAGTTTGCCTAAGATCACACAGCTAAGAAGTAAGTGAGCAATGCAGAATCCAACGTTTTTAACCACTGCACCCTGCTGCCTCTCTAAAATGTTAGATTATGAACTTAAGGGGAGAACCTCTGGTATGGTTCTATTCAGAACAAAAAAAAAAAAAATGGAAGTGATCAAAGAAGAGGGATTATAAATCATAGAACATCAGAACTGAAAAGAGCCATAGCGGTGATGAGGACTGCTGAATTTCAAAAGGATGACACTGAGATCCCAGAAGGTGATGTGTCTTCCCTAAACCGCATCCAATCAGTGGCACTGCCGCCATCAGAATTCAAGTCTTCTGACTTCTCATTGAGAACAGGAGGTGGAAGAAGTTGGTGGGGCTGAGCAAGCTTAATTAACTCAACGAAGAGATAATTCTTTAAAGGGAGTGGACCGGGGATACATTTCATCTGACTCTGAAATGTAAAATATTCAACCTGAAATCTGAACTAACTCTTAAGTCAGTAAATTTTCTATTCTGTCATCTATTGGTAAGTTCCTTAGTCCTTTTAGAAAGTTAATTCTCTGGGAGAATTTCCAAGACATTATCATGACTTTTAAATCTATAAGGCCAAGTAGTCCCCTTCTACGATGATGTCCTCTTTGGCAC